TATATATATATATATATATATATATATATGTTTCTATTCCGGCGTGAATGCAGCTGTTTAACCCGGCTTACGGGATGTTTACTGTGGATGAGGAAAGCAGCAGTTGTTGGTTTTCGTCGAATATGATGGCTGGCGTTGTGCCCTTTGAGTTAATCGGAATCATTTGTGGACTTGCAATTCATAATGCAGTTTTGATGCCTGTTAACTTCCCACTGTTGCTGTTTAAGAAGCTTCTTGAATGGCCTGCCAATACGCTCCAAGACCTCTTCAGCCTACACCCACAAGTTGCAAGGTACTCGACCTCGCTTGCGGAGCTTCTAGCTTCATGTGGCTCTGGCTCCTTGCTCGAACGTGCTCCAATATATTGGTTTGCCTGCTCTTATAGCTATATATCTGCTTGTCTATATGTGCTTCTGTTGGTGTGTTCGTTCCCTTTATTTAATTGTTCGCACAGCTGTCAAGTTGTTCGTTTGCTGGTGCGTTTGTTGGGTGGCCAGTTGGTTGAGTGACTCTCCTGGTTGCTTGCCATTTCGCTTATTTGCTTGTATTTGTGTCTGCGTGTTCGCGAGTTTCTATAGTTCTTCAGCTCCTCAGTTGTGTGTCTGTCAGCTGATTTGACCAACGTTGTGTTCTGTTTTTTCTTTTTATGTTTGCTTCTTCTTTAGTGTGTTCGGTGCTTTGTTTGTTGCTTCATTTGTGCAGCATACACACTGCTTTTTTTGGCACCTTCGCATTTGTTTGCATGCCGTTTCTTCATATGCATCTAGGCGGATAAATGCATAACCCAGTCTTATGCATTGTCTACACATGAGCATATTTATTTATACACATTGGCTTACCTGGCTTGTTAGGCTGTATTTCGGTCCTGTGTTTACCAATTGAATGTTGCAAATAGATATTCACGCTGTGTGTCTACGTAGCATTTTGTGGACTGGCAATTGCCGGTGCCGCATCTGGTGTTGCAACAGCTTCAGTTGTTGTGTCCCCTGTAATGTTTTATCTGTCTTCACTGCTGCTGCTGTTGTTGTTGTTGCTGCTGCTACTGGTTCTGCTGCTGCTGCTACGGCTTCTGCTGCTGTTATTGTTCCTGCTGCCCTAATGCTGCTGTTGCTACTACTGGTGCTCCAGGTGTTTGGCGTATGTGTTGGAGGCTTCGGCTGAGGAGTTGGACGAAATGGCTTTGACGTTTTCTTATACGTCGAATGTCTTTGGAGAGTATAGAGATGTAGCCCTGGGAACGCACAGTCCCACCGAAGTTGTCAGCATAAACAACAGGTATAGGCGCTGCTGCTCTGGCCAATGCCATTGGCGCTACTAATTCTGCCCCATGCCCTAATGTTTCTGGAGTTGCTGCTGCTGGCAGAAAACCTACTGCAAGTGCTGATATCGGTGCTTTTTGCTGCTGTTGATGGTAATATTTCTACTGGCGATGAGCCCACTTCCTAATGGTGCCGGTTCATTTGCTGCTGGACAACGGGAGGTCGCTCCTTCTGCGCTGGTGCAGCGTAGCAGCATAGCCCCCAACAATTTTGCTGACTGTCTTCACTACGTAAAGCTGTGTGAAATACACATGCATATCCATAGTGAATATTTCATTGCGTGGAGGGTTTTGCCTTTGTTGGAAGAACTGTTCCTGTTGGGTTTTTTGCAGAACGGAGTACGTTGAGGCGTATATACATCATGTACTGTCTGCCGCACCGGCTTCACAGTTCGCTGCGTTCAAACGAGGCTTTTTCCGTTGTCTTGACAGCAACACTCTATCGTTGCTGCTGCCACAGGAGCTCCAGCTGCTGCTACTAGGATCGCAGCAGGAAATTAGCCTTGCAGTCCTGCAAAAAGTAATGCTAACCCTAAACCCATAGCCCTTAGCCCTAAACCCCTGATTCTAAACACCAAACTGTAGACCCCCAATTGTACACACCAAGCCTTTCGACCATGATTTGTATGCCCTTGTTTTTCTGCCAAGTTTACTTGCAACGTAAGCAATACGGAATGCTTAAGGATTTAGCTATGTACGACATGGTGTCTACCTGTATATATCTATATAAATATATACACGTAGGGGTTTGGGTATCGGTAGAACCGCTAGGCGGCGGAAGGAGTTGCAACAGGAAAGAGATGCTGCGGGTGGGTGAGACAGGCGACGCGGTATCAAGACGGCTACTCAGAAGACTCCCTGGCTATTCGCAGGCTCTGGGCAATCCTTAGCAACTTCACCGACAAACAAAAAAGACAATTTCTCATGTTTGTTACAGGTATATACCGAAATAAATATGTTTATATATATATATATATATATATATATATATATATATATATTGCTGGTTGCTTTATATCTTGCTGTTGTGATGGGATTTGCTGCTTGTCGCTGCTTCTCCGCGGGTTTAATTGTGTTTTTCCGTTGCTGCTTCTTTTGGGCGATCTGTTCGTAGGGTCAGACCGCCTGCCTGTTGGGGGAGCTCAGGCCCTGCGCCTCACAATTGGCCGTCACGGCTTCGACACGGATCGGTAGGTGGAAAGTTAAGTGTAAAGCTTAACTTTCCTGTTTGTGTGGATTGCGTACCTCTAACCATTATTATAAATATTATTATTTTTGAGCTTTTTTTAATGTATACTTCGGGCGTCTGAAATGTTCCGTCGAAGCTGTGAAACTAATTGGAGTCTAATGGAGTCTAATTAGTTTCACAGCTTCGACACTTAGGGCAAACACGCACAAATTCAACCAGGCCAATTCTTTAGGCGCATTCGAACAAATACAATATTTCTCTTGTTTACAGTACGGCATATATAACATGCATGCGGTTATTGATTCACGCATTTGCATATCCCCCTGTCTTTCACATTAAAGCCCCATGCTGCTCCTATCAGTGGCACTTCAGATTTAGTGGGGTTTGTTGCTGTACCGCCTGGTGTCATGTTGATTGCTTTGTTGTTTCTTTTGTTGACGGTTTTGCTGTTTGCTGTTCTGTCCAGCCTTCCAACGTCTCACACCTGCTTCAACTTCCTGCTGCTCCCAGATTACAGCAGCCAGGAGAAAATGCAAAGGCTGCTGCTAATTGCCATTCAGAATTGCCGTGGATTCGGCCTTAGGTAGGCAGGCATTGCAAGAGCAGCAACTGCGGATGTAGTGCGACAGATCAAATCAAGCCCTTCAGCGACAGCTGAAGGAGCAGGAGAGCACGCAGCAGCAGCAGCAGCAGCATGCGCAGTTGACTTAACCGAACCGGTTTATCGTTCATGTCTTAAGGCCAGAAAGAAGGCCAAACGCCGTTAGTCGTAAAGTCGGCTGTTTACTGCACAAAATCAAAGCCATATTGTAAGACATTATATCACCTCAACATAAAAGGAGCAACAACATCTAAATAGCAAACCAACAACTAGAAAACGTATGAACAAAGTAGCATAGTATCAACCATAGCAATGCGGCAAATTCCCAGTGAGGGGATGTTAGAGAAATAAGAATAACAATTGAAAGAAAAGTAGTATCTTTGACGGTTTCAATCAGTACTGCTGCGGCATCAGTAGAAACCATAATGGCTGCATTAGCCGAAAAAGCACTGCAGCAGCAGCTGCTCCAGCTCCTCCAGCCACTGCAGCAAAAGAGACACATATCCTTCATTTGCTGCTAGGGGTACTATTCTGATGGCATAAAGCTCCTGCCAATCAACGTAAAGCAGCACTGCAGGAAAACGCTGCAGCACGAGCAGCACACACGTACAGTAGGCGTTGTAGTAGCACCAGCAGCAAACTCTACTGCTGGCAGCCCCTTTTGAGGCGTTTCAGGGGCTCTAGTTCCCAAAGGCAAACACAAGCACTTCCCCCAGCTGCAGCAGCAGCTGCTGCTGCAGCAGCTGCTGCTGATTCGCCTGGGCGCACTGTCCGCCTCTCCTCCCATTCAACAAGCACCCCACCCCACATGCCAGCTGCTGAGGGCTCGATTCTGCGGATGATGCCTGATAGCCTTTGTTGCTGTTGCTGCTGCTGCTGCTGTTGCAGCCCTATATCCAGCGGTGCAAGCCCAAGGCCGCGTGGAATGGGTGGCAGCGGGACGGCAGCAGCAGCAGCAGCAGCAGCAGCAGCACCGGCACAGCCGAGCTGCACGCGGAAGCGCATGCCTGAGGCCCAGCCTAACTCCAGCGCCTGCAGCACTTTGCTGCAGCGAACAACGAAACTGCGGCATTTCTGCAGCAGCGGAATACTCAACACCACAAATCGCAGCTTTTGTTGTTGCCCCCTTGCAGCAATCGGCAGTCCATATAATTCTTCTGCTGCTGCTGTTTCTGCTGGTGCTGCTGGTGAACCAGAAACTTCGTCGTTGCCAGATGAATGCAAACAACCGTCTGCGGCGCCCCCGCTATCTGCCTGCTGCTGCTGTTGCTGCGTGTCTCCCGTTGTTGCTGATTTGCTGCTGCTGCTCCCCGGGAGCACTTTCCCCAGTCTTGAGGAATGGCGCGTTACGCGGCCTTCGTTGGCAGTTGCAGCAGCAGCAAGAACCTCTAAGCCCTCAACAACAGCATCTGCTGCTGCTGCGTTCCTTCTACGGCACAGCATTGCACACAGCAGGCCGCAACACCAAGCTCAACTGCAGGATCACAAGGCACTACTGCGGCAACGGTAAACAGGCAGTAAAAGCAACAGCAGTAGCAACCCTCCGCAACTTCCACATACCCCAGCCAGGCCATCATCATCACTTGGAGCACAACAACAACAACAGCAGCAGCAGTTGGACAACACCGGCAGAAGTGGCACCATACCTGGTGGCTACAGAACAAACAATTCGATAGTGAGGGCATAGAGATGCATCAAGAACACCGGCACCCATAGCGTCAGGCGCTTGCTGGGTGAGCTGCTGCTGCTGCTGGAGAAGCTGCTGTAGCTGCAGCTGCTGCTGAAGGTACACCTGGGCAGCAGCACCGCTCTTCTCTGCCAACCGCAGCGGATCGGCCTGTAGCAGAAAATCCTCAAATGCTTTTGAAACGAGGCCGTCAACCGCCTGCAGGTCAGTGCGGGTTTTGCCGCTACTGCTGCGCCAGGCAGCTGGAGTTGAAGACCCGGCTTGGGTGAACCCAGCTGGGGGAGTTGCGGCTGCTGGTGTAGCTGCAGCCCCCGATCCATCTGGACACTGCGACGCCTCAGGCTGCAGCGCCGACTGCTCTCCACCCGCTGGATCCGGAGCAGTTGCTGCAGCAGCCGGCACTGCGGGGGGAAGCAGATGCTGCTGGTGCTGGTGCTGCTGCTGCTGCGGTTGCGGGGGCTTCACAAGTCCTAAGACGACGGGATCTTCTTCAAGGGAAAAGGAAAAGAGGGAAGGGAGCAAACCGAAGTCTGCCGCCTCAGCGCAACCCCCTGGCATTGCCTGAAGCGCGTTGTGCTGCAACGCGGCAGCAGCAGCAGCAGCACTAGCAGCAGTGGGGGATCCAGCTGCTGCAGCCGCAGCTGCTGCTGCCGCAGCAGTTGCAGCTGCAGCCGACGCTAAGGGAGGCTGCACCTGGAGCGCTGGAGGCAGCAAACCTGAGAATCCCCCGAAAAACTCAATGGAGTGTACATGCAGCTCCTCAACCCAGCCTAAGGTCTCTGGTGCGTGCAGAGTGCAGCACGTCTGTGCGTAGTCGCAACCGCCCGCAGCTTGCTCCTGCAGCACAAACCACCTCCACGGCACAATGTGGCTCCTGCTGCTGCTGGTACTGCTGTGGCTGCGTTTGCGTATGCAGCAATGTAACAACAGCAAGGGTGCGTTTTCTGGCTCACTTGTCTCAAGGCCTCTACGAGTGCCGTCTGCCCTTTCCTGAAGAAAAAGAGTCGATCGCCCTCCCGAGGTATTTCTTGGCGCTGCTCATCAGAAGCCAGGAGCTGCTCGAAGGCATCTCTGAACAACAGCACCAGCAGCAGCAACACTGGTAGCAAATAGAACAGCGGCGGCAACTGAACAGCGCGAGCAGGAGCAGCAGCACAAGACGCAGCAGTTGCCGCCACTGCTGAAGTAGTTGCAGCATCAGCAGGAGCAACAGCAGCCGCAAGTGTAGCAGCATCTACAGCTACAGCAACAACAAAATTGGCCGCCGCCGCAAAAATTGGCAGGGTGTCAGAGGAGGCAGCAGGCCTTCCCGATATATTGCATGCACTCAATACCACCGCAGCCCAGTCCAGCAGCAGCACAAGCGACACCTGTTGCTTGCCACCGTGACCCGCCGACACCGGCTTGCTAGAGGCTGCTGCTGCTACCTGTCAAATGCTGCTGCTGCTGCCACAGCAGTTACCTGGGGATGGGGGCGTTCAGGTCCGTGAGCCGTTGGCAGCTGACGCCCGTTGCCTTCCACACATTCAGGTAGAGGCCCCATACATGCAGCAGATCAAGGCGGCGCCGCACCTCGTTCCACTGCTGCTCCTCAAATGAGTTGGTGCTGCTGCTGCTTGCTGCTGTTCGAGAGATGAACAGAGAGTCACACGTCGAATCCAGCAGATCCAGCACCGCCTGCTCGGCCCAGCCAAACCCGCAGCACATACACCGCAGCAGACTACCAAAGCGACTGGCTGCTGCTGCTTCCTCGGGATCCTCGCCAGCTGCTGCAGCTGCGGCGGCTGCCGCTGCGGCCTCCTCGCCAGCAGCAGCAGCAGCAGCAACTGCAGCATCAACACTCGCTCTCGAAACAGAACAAAGTCCAGCCACAGGGGGCATGGCGTCCGTCCCATCTGCTACGTTTCCACCAGCAGAAGCACCCTCAGTAGCACAAACAGCAGCATCATGAGCAGCACAGTCTGCCGCCGCTGGGGCAGCTTCCCCTTCTTTTTCTTTCCTGCTGCTGCACACAGTATCAGAAACACCAACGTGACCATCTGGTGCTTCCTTCGAGTTTCCCAATGCTTCGTCAGTCGTCTTGCTGCGGCGTTTCACCGTAAATGCTGCTTCCAAATCCTCATGCAGCAGCCTCGGATGTCGCCGCACTCCCTCTGGCCTTACTGCTGCTGTTGCTGTGTGTTGCTGCTGTGCGTCAGCAGCGGCAGGCCGCATAGCATCGGGCGGCAGGTCCTGCTCCTGCCCTGGGGTAGGCAAGAGGACAGGCAGCTGCACCGATAGCTGCTGCAGCTCCTGCTGCCAGATATGCCGTCTGTAGACCCAACTCGATGCATGCACACAACCTGCCGCCTCTGCGAGAGCCTCCACGTACAGCAGAAGCTGCACCAACACAGCCTGCAGCAACGGCAACAACACTAACAGCAGCAGCAGCGGCTGATGGTCTTGATGAACAACAATCCTATAAGCAGACGGCAAACCGGAGCCATGCAGAGGGAGCAGCAGCAAATAGAATAACACCAGGAACTGCGGGAGGTTCAAGCAAACAGCAACAGTCGGTGCAATAGCGACAGGAGCAGAGCAGCGACCATCGACGCGCCTAACAAACGTTCAGCAGCAGCAGCAGAAGGATGGCAAGAAGTAGCAACAACTGCAGCACCAGGCGTCGCAGCTACTGGCGTTGCTGGTGCTGCCGATTCCGTGTCCTCCTCACCAAGAAAAGAGTCTGTTCCATCCAGCAGCGGCGATGTTGCCTCTTCAGCTTTGCTGCTGCTGCTGTTGCTGCTGCTGCTGAAGGTAGCTGCTGCTGGGCGCACGAAGGCCCTTCGCCCCAGCACGGACTGCAGCACGTCGCAGCTTTTGCAAGCACAGTCAAAGCGCCAGAGAAAGCCATGCAAGGAGACATTTGATGCTGCTGCTGCTGCTGCTGCCAGAGGACAGGGTAGCAACGCGGCAGAAGGGAGGCATTAAGTGCATGCATCTGCTTGCAGGCCAACCAAACCGCAGCAGCAAGCGAAGAGGGAGGAATAACTGCAGCACCTGCGGCAGAGGAGACTGGCTGCTCCGCCTCCAGCTGCAGCAGCACAGAGACAGCACAAATAATATTCCGTCTACACGACACAGAAGTGATGCTAAAGCAGCAAACTAAAAGCACCGCAAACATCCACAAAAGGAGCATCTACAGCCCCAATAGAAGCCAATACAACGATGCGGCAAAGCCACATGAACAGCGCAGAGACGCAGCAGGAGCAGCGAACAGTGCAGCAGCAGCGAATACAGCTGTTACTGACCGTGTCGATGACGCGGCCTAGAGTGAGTTTGAGTCCCCTCTCTCTCTTCAACCCGGGAGACAAAGCCTCCCTGAGGCTACGCAGTGCAGCTAGATTAGGAGGCACGAAACAGCAGATGCTGCGCTGCTGTTGCTGCTGTTGCAGCAGCTGCAGGAAGGCAGCCAAGGACTCCACCCTCACAGGCCGCCGCCGTATCGGCCAAGCAGACAGCGCGCACGAGCTGAAGAGAGCAACTGCGTCTCCTGAAGGAGGGTACACCTTCAAACATCCCCCGCTGTTATTGCTACTGCTGCTCGCGCTGTTATTGCTGTTGCTGTTGCTGCCGCTGCTGCTGTTGCAGCCTTTTGCGTCAGGGTTGCTGCTGTAGGTGGTGGTCGTCGTGACGGTGGCGTCGTTGCAGGTGCTGTCACTGCTCCGCACGCTGGTGTTCCCTCCGCTGTAACCTGCCTCGCTTCCGGCGTTTCTACTGCTGCTGCTGCTGTCATCGCTGCTGAGGTTGCAGTCTGCGGAATGTTTGTGCCTCTCCAATGCTACGGGAAGTTCCGTGTCTGTTCTGGTGTCGCCGCAACAGCTAGCACTAATTGTATTTACAAACGCACCGGCAGAAGGTAGCGGTGCATCTGGTGCAGCTGCTGCTTCGGCAGTGGCAGCAGCCGCAGCAGCGGCTTTCTGTAGTAGCAACCGCAAGGGAGACGGGTGGCAGCAGGTCTCGACGTACACCCGAGACGCCTCGCCATTGGGCCCCATGCATGCACAATAACGATTGAGAAGCCGATCTTCTCCCAGAATCTCCGATCGCAGTACAAAACAACTTTGGAGCCTCTCCGCCTCGGCATTAGATACTCGGCCCATCGGCTTCCGCCGTTGGGAACGCCCGCTACCTCCTGCTGCTGCAGCTGCTGCAGCAGACGAATCCTCTGCACTCAACGCACACAGACACGACGCAGCAACTGCAGCTACAGCAGCAGCGGCACGCCCACCGGGTCGCATAACGCATATGCCCTGCCTCCGGTAACCTGTAGTGCAACCACAATGACGGCAGCCGCAGCTGTAGCTCATGATGCTGATGCAAAGACAGGCACCCCAACAAGCCACAGCATGAGCAAAGCAGCAACAGGTTGTGGAACACACCCGCGTCGTCCTTCACTCCCGATGCAGCAGCAGCCGGCAACTCCTTGCTTGCTGCCGTTGCTAATGTATCCCCATCTTCAGCTCCGGGTTTCTCCTCTGCATCCTGCGGATAATAGAAGGAGCACTAAGCCTCCAAAGTGGCTTTTTCAGTGCTGGAGCTACAAGCAAGGGGCAGCCACTATTTTGCTCTGCTTACCTTCTCTGTTTTGGCCTCCACAGCAGCAGCTGCAGCAGCTGCAGTAGTACAGTTAGGCGTCAGGTATTCGTCTTCAGCAGTGCCTGCTGCTGCTGCCTTAAGCCGCAGCACGTTAACCCGTGCATGGCCAAGGGCCTCCAGCTTCGCATCTATGGCGAACTTCCCCTGCCAGTTGTCTGAGACCAGCCGCTGCAGTTGCTGCAGCACGAAGCAGCGCAGCTCTCTAGGGAGCAGCCAGAAGCTGGTGCGTCTGCAGTGCAACCAAACACGCAACACCTACACAAATTCCATAACACCAACCGAATCAACTGGAGCAACTATCACGACACAGACGACAGAAAAACTGCACCTCTCGCTGCTACAGCACCTACGACACTTGCTGCAACAGCCAACGCTGCAGCAGCAGATGCAGCAGCAGTAGATACAGGTGATACCGCAGATACAGATGCAGCACCAAGAGCAACTAACGCAGGACAAGGGCAACGACGTATGCATCCCCATCCAGGTCATAGGGGAGCAGTAACAGCCTCAGGGGAAACAACAGTACCAATGAAAAAAGGCTACAGCAACAGCAACAAAACAAAGAGGCAAAAGCAGCAGCGGCAGCAAAGGCGGCGGCGGCAGCAGCAGCAGCGTGCCTCAATGCATTCAGGGCCAGGAGCAGTTTGTCCACAGCTGTCGCCTCCACACCACAAATATCGGAGCGGCTGGCGTCGTAGGCCCACTCCACAGCGGGGATGCCACCTGCTGCCGCTGCTGCTGCTGCTGCTGCCTGCTCTTCCTCTTCTTCACGCTCGCCATCAACGCTGCTGGTATCAGATGCATCATCGTCCCCTGCGACCTCTGCATGGCTGCTGTTGCTGTTGCTGTTGTTGTTGCTGCCGCTGTGGTTCGCGGCTAAGGGTTCCTCCATAGCAACTGTTGCTTCTGCTGTGGCTCCGCTTGTTGCTGCTTGTGTTCCCTCTTGCAGCACCCTCGGGACTTCTGGCGACACCACACCAACCCCACTACTCGCATCTGATGAAGGCTGAGCATCCGTTGATGCTCCCCCCGCTGCTCCGGCGGTTGCTGCTGGTTCCCCTGTTGCTGTTGCTACCCTTGCTGATATCGTCGCCTCTTCTCCTTGCGACTGCGTATCTTCAATGGCTTCGTGTGGAACGGGGGGCTCTGCTGCTGTTGCAGCAGCAGTGACCTCCCCCCCTGTTGCAGCGCACTCTGCAGTGGCTTCATCTGCTGTAGGACTTGTTGCACCAATTTTGTCTGCTGTTCTAGCAAGGGCATTGTCAGCGTCTGCTGCTGCAGCCCCTTCATCTTGCCTAGCAATGTTCTCATCGGAGGCGGCCGATTCCACGGCATCTTCTACTGTTAGCTGCTGTCCAGCCTCCTGCTTTTCATCTTGCTGCTGCTCCAGCTTCTGCTGTGGCTGCGGCTGGTGCTCCTGGTCAAGCTGCATAGGTTCCTTGTCTGCAGGAGGTTTTGTTCCCTCAGAGCTGAAAGACTCGTCAACAAGCTGCGCTGACTCTTCCCCTCCTGGTTGCTGCTGTTGCTGTTGCTTTTCCATGGGCACATCACTCTCCATCTCCTTGACGCACGCAGCAGCAGCAGCAGGCGGGTCAGGTGCAGCTGCTTCTGCAGCTCCAACAGGTGGGTGGACAATTGTCTGGTCGGGTTTAGGGGGGGCGATATATTTCCTAACAGGGCTGTACATACACTCGAACAGCAGCCGCTTCAGCAACAGCGGCGCTGTCAACGGGTCTAGCAGCCGCAGGTCTAAGGGGAGGCCATCCAGCGCACGCAGGGCCCTGGTCGGAAGCGTTAGCAGTTGCTGCTGGTCCTGCTGCTGCAGCAGCAACTGCTGCTGCAGCAGCTGTAAGTGGTCCTGAGGTGTCAAACGGCGCAGCTGATGCAGATGTGCCGGCCGCTCTCCAGCCATGCACTCATAAAAAGCAGCAGCCGCAGCAGCGCAAGCAGCTGGAGCAGCAGCGGACTTGCTAGGATCGCATGCACTGCTGTTGCCACTGCTGCTGCTGTCGTTCGATGTGGCTGGTAGCCCGCCCTCTGCAACAGGCCTCTGCGGCCTGCGCCGTTTTCTGAGGTTTGTCTGCTGCTGCTGCACCCCGAGACCTGCATCGATGCCTATCCAGAGGGCTGCAGAAACCTGAGACTCCTCTGGAGTCAGAGGCTCTGTTGCGGTTGCTGCGCTGCTGCTGCTCCTTGCTGCTGCTGCACGCGGCAGGGCATCGGACAGCTGAAGCACCCCCAGCTGCAACAGCCGCAGCAGCAGAGCATCCCCAAGGAAAAACGGCAGCTGCTCTGCGCAAGCTAACGACAGGTTCTGATCTTGAGCGGCTATCGCTGCTGCTGCAGCCGCTGCTTCTGCTGCTGCTGCTGCTTGTGCTGCTGCCTCCGCTGCTTCAGAATCACTATGCTCCCGAGAATCCTCATCATCCGATGAATATGGGGCTCCCTTCCTTCTCCACGCCTTTATCACCCCCGTCGACTTTGCTGCCGCTGCAGCCGCTGCCGCTGATGCTGTTGCTGTTGCTGCGGCTGTTTCGTTGCAGGATTCTGTGCCACTCTCCTCTCCTCCACTGACACTGGCACAGCGTGCTGCGGTTGCAGCTGCTGCTCGCCCTTCTCCTGCAGCTCCACCTGTTGCTGCAGCTGCTGGTGCTTCTGTTGCTGCTGTTTCTGTTGCTGCACCGGTCCTCTGGCTGCGCTCCGCTTCCCCCGCAGACTCAGGGACGTCAGGTTGCGGCCCATCCTGCTGCTCCTGCTGCTGCTCCTCTCGTTCCTGTTGCTGTTGTTGTTGCATACAATCAAGTTCTGGAAGTCCATAGATCCGCGCGCCAAGGAGTAATTCGTGCCTGTGCCGGCTGTGCGCTGCAGTGTGCTTAGTAGCAGCAGCAGCAGCTGCATCACCGGGCACCAACGGTGCAGGGCGCAATAATGCTGCCTCCAGGACATCGATGGAAGGCGGTAGCAACTGCAAATACTCGGCAAAGACCCTCATGAAATCCTGCAGCTCAAGCAGCTCCGGGTGCCTGTACAGCTGCAGCAACGAAAGTGGCAAAGGCCTCGTCTGGCACTGCGATCCATCCACACACACAAGCACAACATGGGTGCTTTTAGCATCACCAAAGAGGGCATGCCCCAGTAGGCACCAGAACAGCAGCAACAGCAGCAGCAACAGTGGAAGGAGCGGCAGGAGCAGCAGCGGCACGGAGGATACGACGGCACGCAGGAAACCCTTTGGTATACAACGGCCAACTGCAGCTGCCTATACAGCCGATGTGTACATACCGTCTTGTCCTCGAAGGGGTCAATCAACAATTCGTCTTTCGGTTCAACAGCCGCCTCCGCCTCATCAGCCTGCTGCTGCTGCTGTTGTTGTTGTTGCAGTTGCAACTGTGGCTGCACCTGCTGCTGCAGTTGGGCTGCTGCTTTGCGCGCGTTAAGTACTGCTGCTGCAGCATCTGCAGCGGGCTGCCCCTGCTGCGAGTCAACCTCCATTGGGCCTGGCGTAAAGCTGCCATGGCGTGGTGTTGCAGTAGCAACAGCAGCACCGGCACTACCTGCACCTGCAGCTGCCGCTCCTGTTGTTGTTTCCGGGTTCTGGCTGTCTCCACGCTGGCGCCTACAGCGCTTAGGGGGCCGCCCTAAGATAGGGGTTCCTCGAGTCCCCGCTGCTGCTTGTTGCTGCGTTAATGGCCCAAGTTGCATGTCTGCGTCCTGTGACAGCTGCTGTTGCTGCTGCAGCTGCAGTTGCTGCTGCAGCTGCTGCTGCATGTCTTGCTGTCTGCGCCCCACATCCTCTTGAAATGTGGATGGCTCTGGAGCGAGCAAATAGTTGAGAGGAGGGACGTATACATTTGCTTCTGCTGCCTTTTTCATCAGAGTTTGGCAGAAGGGGCCTAGCAGCAGACTGGTGCTGCTGCTGGTGCTATTGCTGCTGCTGTTGATTGTGGCTTCGAAGGAAGCAATCTGGGTAAGGAGAAAGCGCGCAATTGAGATAATGTACTCTTCTGTGCAACCTGCAACAGCAAACGCTGCCCCCCAGCAGCAGCGCGGACTCGTCGCCCCGTCCGCCAGCTGCAGCACGCCAGTGCCGTCAGGGTCTGCTAAGGACAGCAGCTGAAGCCCTCGGCCTTTCCGAGTAGGTAAAGCCGATATAAGCTTTGCCTGTGCAAACACCAAATTCGGATCCTGCTGCTGCAGCTGCTGCAGCTGCGACGCCGATGTCCAATCCTGTTGCTCCGTTTGCTGCAACGGCCGACCGCCACGCGAACCGCTGCGGCTACCACCACGACCTGTGCTGCTCCTTGCTGGAGATGTTGGCTGTTCTTGCTGCTGCTGCTGCTGCTGCTGCTGTTGATCCTGCTGCTGAGGGCTTTCTGGCATGTCATCATCATGCTGCGACGAAGTTGTAGTTGCAGCAGCAGCAACAGCAACAGCCGCAGTCTCTGTGGGCCCATCTGTGGGTGCGTCTGATGATGCGGTGAGTGGGAGCTGTGTCTGCTGCTGCAGTCCATTCTGCTGTTGCTGCTCTTGTTGCTGTTGTTGCTGTTGCTCTTGTTGTTGCTGCTGCTGCTGGACCCTAAGTTTCGCATTTTCTGCTGCTGTGAGGAGAGCACACAGTTCTTCATACGTGGTGTTGGGCTGTAAGTGCAGCTGAGGCACGACGCGAGCAGCAACTTCAAACCGCCTTTTAAAAGAAGCAAAAAGAGAAACATAGCGACCTGCGGGCCTCTCTAAGCGGTAGCAGCGGCCAGACGTGCTGCTACACCACAACGCGGGGATGCTATCGGGGCTGCAGCCGTAGCTTATTCGCCTGAAGATAGCAGCAACAGCAGTAGAAGTAGGATCAGCAGCAGTAGCACCAGCAGCAGTCAGCTGCAACAACGACAGCGGATACACACTAAGGGAAGACACACCAATGACCAGCAGCAACAAGAGCAGCAACAACAGGAACAGCAGAGGCAACTCACCATTCGCGCAGGTCGATTCGAACAGAAAATGCCTTTAGACTTTTCGCCAGTTTCATAGGACAGGAGGGCAAGACAGCAGCAGCAGCAGCAGCAGCTGCTGCTGCTGCTGCTTTCTCTGCTTGGGCGTCAGCACTACCGCCACCTACACTGTTATCTTCTGAAACCCCTAACGACCCCTGTTGTTGCTGCTGCTGCTGGGGCACTCCCGTAGAGGGTGGTCCGCCAAAGGCGCTGGAGCTGCTGTCCAACTGCTGCTGCTGTTGCTGCTGCTGCTGGGCTCTGAACCCCTTGCGGCCTTTAGTGTTCTGCTGCTGCTGCTTGCTGCTCCGCGCAAAGAGCTGCGGATACACCTCAGCAACCACAGGATGGCCGCAGGCAATCAACGCCTGCGGCGAATGCACGAGGGCGACATTGACGAGCTTCGCATACAGCACAACCTCCCCCGGCTCTTCCTGGTCCTGCAGCATGCAGCAGCAGCAACAGCAGCAAAAGGAGCACAGCACAAATAGCAGCACCAATAGCAGCAGCAGCTCCCGGAAACACCAACTAGCACCAGGAGCATGACCACCTATAGCAGCAGCAGCAGATGGACTAAATCTGCAGGAGAACTCGCAGCAGCATTACCACAATCAGCCCTATTATCTGCAGCATCGACAGCAACAGTAGAAGCAGCAGGAGCAACAGCAGCAGCAGCAAGCCTACGAGTGCGTCTGGGGGCAGCAGGCGTTCTGCTGTTTTGTTATACAGAAGGAAATCTGCTGCGTAGCCACACCAGCTGCCGTCTGCTGCTGGCCATAAGTAAGAAAGCGGCACTGCAGCCTCTGCTGCATGACTCTCACCATACTTTGCCCACTGCAAATTGCTGCTGCTGCTGCCGCTACTGCTGCTGCTGCTGCTGCTGATCGTGGTAGGCGAGGAGGAGGAAGCTCCAGCTGCCATTGCTGCTGCTGCGCCTAAACCCCCCAGCACGCTGCTCGATTCCCCATTGTCGTCTTCTGCACGAGCAGCAGCCAACGGAGGAGTATCAGAAGCTGCTGCAGCGGCTGCAGCAGCTGCTGCTGGTGTTGGTGCTTCTGCTGCTGCTGTTGCCCCTTCTTTTGTGGCTGCTGCTTCGAGTGTTGCTGCTGCTGCTGGTGGAGGTGCAGCCCCAGAGTCCGCTGTTGTTAATTCCCTCTTCATCGTGGGTACAGTAGAAGACGCAGCAACAGTTTCTCCCCCTCCTTCGGAGGAGGCAGCAGCAGCAGCAGCAGCAGCAGGAAGTGCAGCAGCTACTGCTGCTGGCGCTTCAACTGTTCCTTCTGCTGCTTCATCTGCTGATTGGGGGGCTCCCTGTGGGAAGCAATCCAGCGGTTGCTCCTCCTCCTGCTGCTGTTGCTGCTGCTGCTGCATCTGCAGCAGCAACTGTTGCTGCAGTGTCTCGTTCAGAGTCTCGTTTGCTGGCTGCTCCTCCATCTGCTGCTCCTGTTGATGCTGCTGCACCGACGTCTCCTGCTGCTCCATCTGCTGTTGCTGCTGCGGCATATGCTGTTGATGCCGCTGTACCTGCTGCTGCTGAACCTGCTCAGGATGCTGGTCACCCAGCTGCTTGTGTTGCTGCTGCTTGTGCTGCTGCATCTGTTTCTCTGTGGCCAGATGCGTCTGCTGCGAAGCCTGTTGCTGCAGCTGCTGCTGCAACTGTTGCTGCAGCTGTTCCTGCAACTGTTGCTGCACCTGCTGTTGCAGCTGCAACTGCTGCGTGAGATGCTGATGCTCCAGTGCTGAAGGAAATGCAGCACTCAGCTCTTCGCTCTGCTGCTGCTGTAGCACCTGCTGCTGCTGCTTCTGTTGCTGCTGCGTCTGCAAGAGCAGCTGCCTCTGCAGGCGTAGTAGCAATTGCTGCTGAATTTGGTTATCAGCGCTTGCTTGCTGCTCCTTTGTTTGTTGCTGCTCCTGCAACTGCTGCAGCAGTTGTTGCTGCTGTTGATGGTTTTCCAATGCTTGCTGTAGCAACTGCTGCTGCGGTAGCTGCTGCTGCAACTGCTGCTGCGCGGGAATTTGCTGAAGGAGCTGCTGCTGGCGCAATAGAAGCTGCTGCTGCTTCAACAGCTGCTGCTGCAGCAGTTGCTGTTTCAGTAACTGCTGTTCCAGTAACTCATCTCCGCTGGCCTCTGCTGTGTCAATCTCGAGAGGCTGCCCTTGCTGCTGCTGCTGCTGTTGCGGCTGTTCCTGTTGCTGCTGCTGTCTCTGAGCAGAGGCCTCTGAATTCATTGAAGGAGGTGCAGCACCAGCAGAAGCTGGTTCTGCTGCTGTTTCCTCCTGGCCTCCAGCAGATACAGCGGGCTGATGCTGCCCAACCACGGGTGGAAGAGACGCAGCAGCCGCAGCAGCAGCAGCATCAGCAACAACAGGGGCAGAGTCGCCACCAGCAGACTCCATCCCCCTCGGCTTCAAACAAAGAAGAGCATGCAGTGGTGGCCATGCCAGCAACTCGTCTCAACGCAGCCCTGCTACTGCTACTGCTGCTGCTGCTAATGCCAGTGCAGCAACTGCTGCTGCTGTTGCTGCTGCTGTTGCATGCAGCCGCTGCACTAGTTGCAGCACTAAGAAGTTAGTAAGCCTGCCACAAAGTAGCAAAATGGCTTTCTAGCGCATGCGGTGGCATGGTTCGATAGCACCGAAGAAAAGAAGAGCAGTAGCTACGCCTGCGGTGTACATACGCCTCAGAGGTGCAAGCGCAACAATAGAAAGCACGCATATGCGCCCTAACGAGTCCTTGTAAACACCAGCTGCCCGTCTTGCCGCTGCAGCAGCTGCTGCTGCAGCGGCGAAAAGTCGATGCTTCCCTGAGTGCCGCAGCGGGAGCGATGCTGCTGCTGCTGCTGCTGGTGCTGTTGCACCAGTTGCTGCCAAAGGTAGATGTATTGAGTCTCTTAGGAGGCGTATCCTTCAAGGCCTTCACGGGGCTGCTCTTGGCGCAGACTTGCAGCAGAGACAGGGCTGCTGTCGCCTGCCGCCCTCCTTTGCTCCTGCCGTTTGGCGTGTATAGCCAGTTTTGCAGTTTACAGGCAGGTTTCAGGTGTACAGACACCTTAAACTGCTCAAAAGATTGCTGCTGCTCGTCGCATATCGAAGTGGGGGTTGCAGGGTATCGTCAGCTCTGCACAGATGAAAAGGGGCTGCTGTTCGGGTATCCTCCAACGAAACAAATGGAGAATATGAGTTCTTTTCGCTACTTCTTTGTTTTTTTAATAGTTTTATTATATAGAACATTCATTTTTCCTAGTCTCCCTCCTTAAGGACGAGGAAGGCGCTCACCAGCTCCCCTGGTCCCTGTTGACACCCCACGAAATTGCCACACACCGGCGACAGGGGGGATCCGCATAACGGGAAACAGCAAATGATAAAAATTATTGAAAAATAGATGCAAAAAAGGAAGGCAAGAGACAGGAGAAGGCTCTCAAGTGCACGGGCCTCAGTCTTCGATCACTACAGGCATATGCCTCAGCCATACAAACATGAGCCATACAGGTATATCCTGCTGATGCTGGGGGTAAATAGCTGCAGACAGCTGCAAGCTGATAATGGCATTTACAGCTCGCTTTGACGACCCATTTGCAGCTAGCAGTAGCCAGGTGCCTACTCTCTACCTTGCTCACAATAGGGTGGATCATAAGATGTTGGAGACTTTTCTCCTTGCGTGCAGTCAAATCAGGCTGCCTAATAGGGGCAAATAAAGTGCTCAATAACTTTTCACACTGCATATGGGTGCAGCGAAAGTGGCTTGCGTGAGTTGGCAAAGCTTGTTGCCTCGCGTGCAAAATGCAGCGTGTGTCTCACCAGCCCGAGGTAACTGGGCTGCTGTGCAGAGGACCATTAGGGGCAGTAAGGAATATTTGTTATGTAGGGGAAATTGTATTCCAAGTGTCCTGGAGTTTGTGATGCTTCTCAGCTAGCACGCTCATTGCAAGGCATAACATGGGATGTTGGACCAGAGCAACTGCAGGGAGAGAGCCCCACTTGCGAAATTAAGATACCTTGTGTACACCAATTGGCAAATGAGACTGCGCTCTGCTAGGAGAAGCAAATCAACAGATATTATGATGTTCTTAAAATCTTTGTCGATTGGCAACTGCCACCTAGTTGTAGGGTTGCGAAGGGCCGGGAGACTCTACGCATCAAAATAAGCCCATCATCTGTTTTCCAATCTAACGGAAGTGTTTCCGTAATTGCAGCAGGCATGAAGAACAGTGACACAAAGATATGCCCAGCAGGAGATGGTGGGGCACTACAGGAGTTCACTGCTCATCTTTAATTCACCTTTGGTCTTAAAAATGCACCCGAAGCTTTACAATTTCCGCAAGGAAACTCTGTTTTGAAGCGGGAGGCACAAGGGTTTGGGCCATATTCAGTGTGCACTGAAACAATATGCCGTTGCACATCGAGAATGTGTAAGCCTTCTTCCATGCACTGCAACAAAAGCGTCTCTCGTCGGGAGGAAGCGAACCAGAAATGGCACAAATTAGCAAGCCTAATCGAAAAAAGCTGCCGATAGAGTACTACATCGGGAGGTGCTAATCCTGGGTGAACGGAAGTCCAACGGTGAATTAGAATCAGGGCAGTTCAGACAGAAGAGGCAATCGATAGGTAGCTGGGCCATAAAGAGGAAACTATTGGACGACAGAATTGCCTTACTAATATAATAAGGTATGTACGTATAAAAATTTCTTGGAACCTCAAATCCGCCACTACAGGTGGAAATAAATGTGGCCGGATTGAATATAACCCGGATACGGAGCCAGTGGATATCATGGCTGCCAGTGCCAGCGCCATCCAACAAGAATAAGAATCTACATGAGGAAAGAGAGATTGCATTAGCTATTTGTGCAGAAAGCAGCTGTAATTGCGAGTGTGGGGACCACTACAATACAAGTGGGCACGTTGGCCTACATCATAACCATTCCACAACTGCGGAGACGTCATTAGATCATTAAGGTTGGTTCTCTAAAACGGTCGTGAGAATCGCTGAAGTATCCGGCAACTGTTCACAAAACAACGGGAACATTTATTGCGTGACAGAGCGAGACGAATATCGACTTGCGGAATCCACAAACAAGGAGACCACTACATCAATCCACTAGTATACAGAGGACCTGAGTTTATCAGGTTTGTTAATCAGTTCCTGTGGAACATCTACATGCTCTTCTTGAGTCAGGGAGAACAAGTGCGAGGCCCATTATGGGGGGTCATGTACATCGAGAAATCCTTCGTTGGCACCGCAACGCATGGACTTTTATCTTAGGATGCGTGATCTCCTCCCCGCTAAAAATTTTCCTGCTGTGTTCTACTCCCGTCCTTCTACAATTGCACATCTTGGTGCTGCTATCGACCAGCAAATCAATAGCGGGCCGGGAAGGCCGACTCCTGCCTCACGTGCAAACTGACTCTGGGTGTTGGCAATGATGCACTGTTCACACTGTATAGTTGGCCCAGTACGCAGTTTGGGCTGCCAGTTGCGAGACTCAGCAGGGAGAGTAATTAAGGACGAGGAAGCTGCAGGAGCCATTCGCCTCTCTAACCTTTGTGATTCTGGGTCCTGCCCTCCCCGATGATAACCTTTGCCCCCCTTTCTGCAGAGGCCCCTTGCCAAGGGGGTGGAGAGGGGAAATGTCTATCTGACCCCTGTACACTTATGCCTAATTCTTCCTTATCTGGTTGGTTGGAGGAGACTTGTGTTACACCAATTGTGCCAGATACAGTAAAGTGCTTGGGATCTCTGGGTGTGGGGCTGCCCGTGTACGAGAACAACGGCATGCGGCGGCGTTGAAATTCTCGCCAGGCGCTCTTCCCCACACTTCGATCCCCAGGCTGGTTGACCTCCGTGCCAATAATTTCTGATTACTAATGCAGAGGTAGAGCTAAGTATATCTTAGTTTATCTAATGCAGGCCACGTCGATCGTTACACAGAGAGGAGGCAAACAGCAGAGGAGGACAGCCAGCGTCTCATTGAAAATAAAGACAATTTATGCTATAAGAAGTAGGAGATAAAAAAGACAACATTTATAAGGAAATAAAATGCAACAGAAGGTTTCCTTTTTGCCTTTTTTCTTTGCACTGTTTAATTTTTTAGGCTATATGCATTACACACTGGTATTATTTTGCGACAAGTTTATAGTGTATAGAAGATATTTTTTTAATTTATAAATAGATAAATATTTTATGTACATATAAACGAATTATCTTCTTGTAGGAAAAAAAAAAACAGCAAAGTAGCTGTTAATCGACCTCTTCGCTCGTGTTGCTGCTGGCTTGCACGACTGCAACAACAGACATGTAAATAAGAGGCTTGTAAGTTAATAAGAGTAATTTTCTGAGTTTAAAAAGATATAAAATGCAATTAAAGTTTATTTAAATAGAGATATAAAGGGCTCGGGTGTATAGGCAGCTAGTTTTCTTCGTGGGCCAGGTTAGTCCATTGCTATGCCCGTTGTAAGGGAAGGGGGTGTATGTGTAGTGTATATAGATGGAAGATGGATAGTTTTATATGAATTAGTATTAATTTAAATGGCTAAAACAAGAAAAATAATTATTTCCTTATGTCATCTGTTAGCACTGCATTGTGTGCGCCGTCAGCAGCAGCAGCAGCAGCAGAGCGCAGCGGCGGTGGCTGTGTCGGCTGCAGCGGCTGCAGCAGGTGTCATAGAGGTATATTTTTTGCGTATTTTGTTTGTAGCTGCATAAAAAAGTGCTAAAAGTGTATTTTCGTGTTATTATTTGGCATAAAGGAGTTGCTGCAGCAATAAACTCTTATTTTTTGCTGCCTCTATACATAGCAGCAGCAGCTGTAGTATACTGTACTGTATATGCACCATGCGGTCGGGCTGCACAGCAGCAAGGCAGCAAGCAGCGCAACCTTTGTATTGTTTTTCTATACGATAGTTTTATATAATTAAATAAAATAATTAAATTAATGATAAAAAACAAGAAAAAAAACAAAAAAAAACGGCAGTCTGTGCTCCCCATCAAGCGCCGTGCAGCAGCTACTGCATCATCATCATCTACTGCGCCTGAGCCTAGTAAGTACTATAGCAGCAGCAGCAGCAGCAGCAGCGGCAGCAGCAGCAGCAGCAACACCTGTCGTGGTGTGTGTGCTACCGCTACCGCTACCGCTACCTCTCTACCTCTACCGGTGTTGCTGCTGCTGCTGCCGTTACTGCCGCTGCTGCTGCTGCTGCTGCTGCTGCTGCTGCTGTCATCAAGGGTCTGCTGCGTGTCTGTGTGTATGTGTGTGTTTATGTGTGTGTGTGTCCCTCTTAGGTCTTCCTCTGCTGCTATAATAAATAATTTTTTTTTTTTTTTTTTTTTTTTTA